ATCTGGGTTGGTCATCATAGATACGATTACGATAAAATATTTCTTTCCAAGAGAAAAAAAGATCTGTTGTTGTAGTTCAATAGTATTATATACATTTTATTATGTAACGCTAAATACATTTAAAACTAGAACACAAGACCTAGAACTAGAAATATTTGGGTTTAGCCGCACGTCTCTCAAGACGGCTAAACCCGAATGATTTTAGTTCTAGGTCTTGTGTTAGTGTTAGTTCTACTTTTACTGCAATAAAAAAAATGCAACATAGTGATATCTTATGCTAACTAGCGTTACCTACCACTGTCACTAGAACTAACATTACACCTAGAACTAGAAACATTCAGGTTCAGCCGTCTTAAGAGACGTACAGTTAAACCTGAATGTTTCTGGTTCTAGGTCTAGTGTTACTACAATCTAACGTTAAACAACATTTAAAACTAGAACTAACACTAGACCTACAACTAGAAAATATCGGGTTTAATCCAACTCGGAATTACCAACCCACCCTCTGCTCCATGCCCAACCCGACATTTGAGAAATTCGCAATGGTTTAAATGTTAATTAACTTAACTCAAAGGGGAATTTCTACACAAAATTCTGAAATAAATCAGTAATTTAGATGAATCCGAAGAATGTAACGTTTAAAGATAAAAAAGATATGTCGCATCTGGGTGAAAAAGAATCGAGTGTTGTAGCAGCAATTTAAGTAATGGAAAGGACACAGAAAGATATCACTCGACAAAGAATAGTTTCAATAAATAATCTTCAGCCAGGTATATTGTGATCTCCAAGCACTTAGTAATGTTTTGGCAGCAGTATATAGTCTTCCGAAAGCATTAAATAGTCTTTGCCAGCAATATCTAGCTTTCTCCAAGCAGTTAGTAGTCTTTCCAACAATATTTAGCATTCTGAAAGTAGTTAAGTCTTTTTGAGCAGTATTTTGTTTTTCCAAGCAGATAATAGATTCTCTCAGCAGTATTTAGTCTTCTCCAAGCAGGTTGTAATCTTTTCTAGTAGTATATACAGCTCTCTGAAAGCAGTAAGTAGTCTTATGGAAGCAGTATCTCGTCTTCCCAATCAGTTTGTTAGCACTATCTAGTCTTCTCCAAGCATATTGTAATCTTATCCAGCAGTATCTAGCATTTTGGAAGCAGTAGGTACTTTTTTGGAGAGCATATCTCTTCTTTTCAAGTAGTTATTGAAAATGCAAGTGGAGTTATATGTAGAGTTGATGAAAATGCCTCAACCAGCATTAGAAGAATTTCTGCACAAGAAAACATTAACGAAACAACCGTTCACCGCATTTTAAGGGAGAAGTTGCTTTATCCTTATCATTACAACACCATTCAAGCTTTAACAGAAAATGATGGCGAAACAAGAGAAATTTTTTGTAGGTGGGCTATACAGGAAGAGGTAGTAAACGTCGACTTTCCCATAAACATTGTATTTACGGATGAAGCAACATTTACTCAAAGCGGAATTTTTAATATTCATAATGCGCACGTTTGGAGTGATGAAAATCCGCATGCAATACTAGAAACCCATCATCAGTGGCGATTCAGTGTTAATGTATGGGCTGGAGTTATAGGTGATCAATTATTAGGTCCATTTTTTCTTCCAAAAAGATTGACAGCCGATGCTTACATACATTTTTTACAAAATGACCTTACGGAGGCATTTGATGAATTACCTCAACAAATTCTAGAAGATTGCTACTTTATGCACGATGGAGCACCAGCACATTATGCACGCGCTACTCGAGCATACTTAAATAACAGATTTGGCAATAAGTGGATTGGCCGAGGAGGGCCACCTCGTTCACCAGATTTAAATCCGTTAGATTCTTGGTTTTGGGGACATTTAAAACAAATAGTTTATTCTGAAAACGTTCAAAATGTGCAAGATTTGAGAAATAAAATCAGTAATGCATTTGATACAGTAAAACAAATTCCCGGTATCTTTGAACGTATTAGAAGTTCATTTAAAAAACGTATCCGTTTGTGTTTAGAAAAGAATTAGACATGAATCTTTTCCAATTTGTTAAATATTCGTTGTTTTTATGTTGATTGAACGATTTTCTGCGACAATCTTTGTTACTTGTTTTGTTAAATTATTAGTGAACTGTATTAATTAACTTAATATTATCTTATTATTTATTAAACTTTATCTTAACCATCGTAACCATGGTAATCATATAATTACTGCATCTAAATCTAAATTATGAAACTAAAACTTTGAATATCTCGAAAACGATCCATTTTCGGACCTATGTTTATTAGACTTTTTTGTCTATTTTCGATCAGTCTATTTACGCTGCTGATGCAGTATTGTACAATCGTTTCGGGACACCCTGCATAGTCTTCTGAAAGCATTAAATAGTCTTTGCCAGCAATATGTAGCTTTTTCCAAGCAATTAGTAGTCTTTCCAACAATATTTAGCAGTCTAAAGTAGTTAACAATCTTTTGGAGCAGTATTTTGTATTTCCAAGCAGATAATAGTTTCTCCCAGCAGTATTTAGTCTTCTCCAAGCAGGTCGTAATCTTATGTGGCTGAAGTTAGATTCGTTAGATTAGAAAATTTTTAAAATGATACCACCGTTGACTTGATAATGCCGCGTTCTCCTACAATGTTCATAAAATATATAACAAGTACTCCACAATTTATGCTATCTTTTAATATCCATATTTGTTTGACCGGGATCGAGTAAATAAATTAATTTTTTGTCATACTTAGGACTATTAATATCCAGTGACTAGAGTTTACGTTATATGGAATAAATATGTACTTCTAATTATTTAAATTCTCTATAAATACTTTTAAATTTAAGCATTCGTTTCCGAAAAACATAAATTGCACTGAAACAGTATCTATGTAATAAATATAATGGAGTCATGTTTTTTGAATATGAAAACGCAATTACTTATCTGTTAATGTTTTTGAATTAACTTTAGTAGAGTGTGACTTATTATTTAAATAAGGTGTTCTAATTATTTAAATAAGATGTTATAATATCATTGGCTGGTCCCCTGAATCCATATCGTTCAAGATTCAATAAAAAGAGAAGTAAAAGCCATATGGATATAATATCAAACTAAATATTGAATAAATTTTAAATATAATAATCTAGACCAGGGTGCTGCAAACTCTAGTTATTGAGAAACAATGTTTAAAAATTTGCTGTTGAAAACGGGGAATATTAAAAAATTTACCCTTCGGCCCCTACGGTACATCTGTGGGTGCTGGTGGGCTAGAAGGATACCAGAGGACTTAATTGAATAATGTAGACTAGTCCCAGAGCGCTGCAGTCTGTAGTTATTGAGAAAATAATGTTTAAATTTGATATTGAAAACGAGGAATATTAAAAAATTCACCCTTCAGTCCCTACGGCAAATCTGGGGGTGCTGGTGGGCTAGAAGGATACCAGAGGACCTAATGCAATAATCTAGACTAGTCCCAGTGTGCAGCAGTCCTTAGTTGATGAGAAAATAATTTTTAACTTTGCTATTAAAATCGATGAGTATTCAAATATTCACCACTCTGCCTCTACGTAAATCTGGGGGTGAGGGTAGACAGAGAACATACTTAATTATCCAGGGTAGTCACAGATTGCACCAACTTCTGTAGTTTCAGAAAACGATTTTTCAATTGATATGTTCAAGACTTGTCTTTTCAACTGTAATTTTATACGTATATTATATATGTATATGTAGTACACTTTTCTAGTAGTATATAGCTCTCTGAAAGCAGTAAGTAGTCTTATGGAAGCAGTATCTCGTCTTGTAGTTGTTTGTTAGCACTATTTAGTCTTCTCCAAGCATATTGTAATCTTTTCCACCACTATCTAGCATTTTGGAAGCAGTAGGTACCTTTTTTGGAGAGCATATCCCTTCTTTCCAAGTAGTTATTAGTGTTTTCCAGTAGTATTTAGCATTCTGGCAGCATTAGGTAGCCTTTTGGGAAGCATATCTCTTCTTTCCAAGCAGTTATTAAAGTGTTTGAAAGCAATAAGTAGTCTTGGAAGCAGTATTCCACCTGTCCAAGTATGCCAAAACCTTTAACAGCAGTGTTTAGCGTTCTGGAAGCAATAGGTATTATTTTGAAAGCAGTATCTAGTCTTTTCCAAGTAAGTTGTGGTCTTTTTCTGCAGTAGTTATTTTTAGTTTATAGATGATAAGCAACATTTTAGTAAATGTAAAAAACATTATGACGTCACAAAAACTTTAAAGTGATTTTTAGGTAAGTTTTTTTTTTAAATTTGTAAGGGCTTACTTGAATGGAATGATTTGAACTGGAAACTTAGGAATCTGGATCAAGATCCTCTTCTTCTCGACAGGATAGGATATTATTCAGGATCTTCTTCTTGATAACAGGAAACATGTTAAATTCGGGATCTCCAAAAATTGTTATATTTATTTAACTTTAAATGTTAATTCACTATCTAATAAGTTTTCTTCAATAAATTTGAGGTTATGCAAAACTTTTTCGATAATTGAGGTTATAAAATCAAAACGACGTGTACGTTGAAGCACTGTTAAATCGACTGCCGCTCCTCCGAAAATTTCACCCCTTATATAGGATTTTCTCGAAACAAATGAAAATCGGTTGTTTTGATTGGTTGGATTTCGCGGAGGGTCATCCATTTTATAATATTCCTATTGTTTTGAGGTTATAAAATTAATTTTATTAAATTTTACTTTAATCGTTTGAATTTCCTTAAATAAAGGTTTATTATTCTTCTCTTTTCGATTTGACCAAAGGATTTGGCGAAAATTTAATTCTAAGTTATGAAATTTTGACGTGAAAAAATGAAAAGGATTTTTATCAAGAATTAAGTGTAATTAAATTCGAAATTGTTGTGAAATTAATTAATGAGTCTCCTAATTATAATATTTAAGTGGTTTGACGGTTTTTAATAACAAATTTAAAAAATTAAATTAATATAATCTAGGGATTTTTTATTGCTTCAAAAGTAACTAAATTTTTGACATTTCCAACTTCATTTGTATACAAAAGTTTCTGTCAAAAAAAACGTCAATATAAAAAATCGTTTTTACCGTAAAAATTAATTATTTCTAATAAAAAATTGCTTTTATTTAAAAAAAAGAATGGATTATTCGTTTCAGCAAACTTTAACAGGTAAATTTTGACGATTTTTGTGGAATAAATTAAAATTAATCGATTCTAACCTCAAACAGGAAAATTCAACGCAAATTTTGTAATACCAAAAAAAATCGATGAAGAATCTAACGAAAAGGCGTCAGAAGCTGCAGTTTTAGAGAACATTTATTCGTCCGATTTGTACCAACAATTATATTCGCAAAATTATTATGTAAATTATCAACCGGTTGAAGCAACTCAATCGGGCCAAAAACGAACTTGGGAGATGGCTAATTATTTGCAGCCGACGCAAAGTTTGGTACGGACTTTAGGAAGTTCATATGATGCAACATTCCCTGTTGAATTATTAGCTTTATTTCAACCTTTATTTTGTAAATTATGTTCTGTGCAATTCAGTAGCAATGTTGTGGCTAAAACTCATTATGACTCAAAGAACCATGACAAAAAATTAAGAAAATACCTGGTGGAATATAGTGAAAGAACAGGGGAACCCCTACATAAAAAAGCCTCAATGCCAAGGACCCAAAAAGAAGAAGAATATGACCCAAAATACTTTCACTGCTCAGTTTGTGATTTACCCCTAACAGGAAAAATCCACGCGGAGTCTCATTACATGGGAAAAAACCATCAAAAGTAAGTAAAAGTTCGCGATTAAAGTTCGTTTAAAAGTTGTACCCCAAACGGGGGAAGGTTTTAGAGTGGTTCTTGGTAAAAAAGCCCCAGCCGGGAAAGGTTATTACAACACAGAAGGAAAATGGGTTCGAGTGTAAATAAAAATAACCACAAAAAAGAATTTTATAATCCAATTAATTCTTTTAGGTTAGATACGAAACAACAAGAAATTTTAGGGGATGGATTTGGAGTTGCGTTTCGAAATCCCCAAGATAATAAAGTTATCATTGAAAATAATTCATTGAGGTGCTCAATTTGTAATGTCTCAGTTACATCTCAACCACAATTAGAGATGCACCTTCAAGGACAAAAACACATGAAGAAATTGAAATCTTTAGCTAATGGGATTGTTACAGCTGGTCCTGAAGTCGCCACGGGGCATTTACCCCACATAGAAGTTATTCCAAGTATTAATATAAAGCGTTTTTATTAAATAAATTAATTTAATGCGTTTTTAGCGAACCCCGAAGATATTTTGAGTGCTTATAGAACACCGAGCGGGCAATTTTATTGCAAAACTTGTAATATATCGCTTAATTCTGAGGTGCAATTCACTCAACATTTAAATAGTAAGAAGCATTTAAAGAAAAATGCTAAAGAATGAATTTAGTTATTATTTTTTTTGAGTTAAGTTTTTTTGTGTGTTAATTAATAAATAAATGTATTAAAAAAGACTTTTCAAAACTTCATTTTAACTCATTTATACACAGTTTTAACTTCTGGTAGAACGTCTAAAACCGAATCGATTTTATCTTCAGGGGTCATCTCAATCGATTTGGTTTTATGTCTTATTTGGTTCTTTGATTTCTTTGTACTTCTTTTAACGCGAGGTTTTGGGGTGGGAATTTTGATGTCGTCAAGAAAAGATATAAATTCTTGCTTAATCCGATCGATTTCGACTTTACCAAACTCTTGGTACAAACGAGAAGATTTCATGATTTTGAAAGTTGTCAAAAAATGATTACGTCCATAATGTCAAATCAACTCCTAATAATCAAGGTCCGTGGATTAAACATACTGTATAACAGTGTGTCCATAACGTCGATCGCAAAGCAGTTTTGAGTCGATCGCCAAGAAAATCATGAATCTGAAATATCTATATCTGGGCCTCAGAGCAAAAAAAAAGTAAGGTTACTTTAAACTCTTCGATTGATCTTGGCAAGACATTTATATAAAAAGTCGATTTTGATCAGAAATTAGTGGACACCACTGCTCTAAATCGATTAAACGTCAAAATTGTTGATTTTCGAAAATTAACTCAATTATAACTGAAAAACTAAAAGCGATGGGGAAATACTTTTTATACATAAAACCTTAGTAATGGGCCATAAAGACTAAATCCATAACAAGATTGAACCCAATTATTACTATTTTTTATTTATAAGCTCTAAATCGATTAAACATCAAAATT